CTAGCTAGATAGATACATAGATAGATAGATATGATCAGACTGAGATAGATAGATAGATAGATAGATAGATAGATAGATAGACAGACAGATAGATAGATATGAACAGAGATAGATAGATAGATAGATAGATAGATAGATAGATAGATATGAACAGACAGACAGGCAGAGAGATAGATATGAACATAGATCGATAGATAGATAGATATGAAAAGACTGAGACAGATAGATAGATAGATAGATAGACAGATAGATAGATATGAACAGAGATAGATAGATAGATAGATAGATAGATATGAACAGTCTGAGATAGATAGATAGATAGATAGACAGATAGATAGATATGAACAGACAGACAGACAGACAGATAGATAGATAGATAGATAGATAGATAGATAGATAGATAGATATGAAAAGACTGAGATAGATAGATAGATAGATAGATAGATAGATAGATAGATAGATAGATAGATAGATGCGGTAATTTGAATATTGCTGATTGTAGAAATACGCAATATTCAGTTGTAGGTTCTACATGGTTGTGGGGCGTTAGTTTCTAGGAAATTTATTTCGGAGATCTGGATTGTTAACAAGTCTTTAACAGCAACTTCGTATGTAATACAAATATAAACAAGCACAGACAAACCTCTCATCAACGGACTAATAGTGGGGAAGGGGTGGTCGGTTTAAGCCGGCTGTCCGTAGATGGGAATGGATTATTTTTGAGTTATAAAACCACTATAGTAACTACCAGTAGTTATGATCATAGTGTAAATGCTATAAACATGTAGATATGGCATAAATAACTATATACTTAATATAGGTATATAAAACAAAATAACAAAAATAATAGATTTCTTACAGCAACTTTCTCACGCACGCGCTAATATATCGTACTTTATATACTGTACACTCGTCTTTGTTTACAATTGAAAAGGGCTGCCACCGCCGTCAAGCGGTCACTTTGAGAACTAATACGATTAATATGATTTTATCGTGATTATTTAATGCCGACGAGATATTTGTTTTCAAAAATGTATTGCTGGCAATAATTTTTCTTCAAACATTTATTGCAGTTAATAATATTTTTACAAAGTATTTCTGGGATTATACCTCATGTTTACACTTTCATAGTATTTTGATCCCAGTTTGGGGGTTAATTATTTACCTATAACTGGCAACACCAGCAATTAAGAGGTGATTCCACGCTCCTCAAAACCTCCTGATCAGAGGCCTTGCCGTTGGACGCGGATGTAGTTTATCGTCATACCCAGGACGCGGATGTAGTTTAACGTCATACCCGGGACGTGCATGTAGTTTATCGGTATACACGGGTCGCAGATGTAGTTTATCGTCATACCCAGGATGCAGATGTAGTTTATCGTCATACCCAGGATGCAGGTGTAGTTTATCGTCATACCCAGGATGCAGATGTAGTTTATCGTCATACCCGAGACGCGCATGTAGTTTATCGTCATACGGTCAGACGGTTTGTTTCTTTCAATCGTTTCTTTTTTGTCACTGAACTTTGTTTTTACCGCCTTTAAAGAGAAAACTTGAAAAGTGATTGATTTCCTTGTTTTTTTTAGAATTTATCAACCCTTTGTTGGATATTTGTATCGTAAGAATTATTATCATTTTTTTTGCGTGTGAATATTGTACCAAAACATTTTTTAAAAGAATAACAATGATTTTTTCCAAATACAAGTCCTACTATTTAACCCATAGCTAGGGAGATTTTTTTTACTAATTGTTTGCCCAATACAAGTCTCATGAGTCACTTAAGCTAGAGGATTACTGATTGAGACTGTTGCGCGTAAGTGGAGGGGGTAACAAGTATTCTTTAAGATGATATGAAGGAAAGATAACAGTTAACTCTAGACTTAAAGAAGTTAACATTGTCATTATTCGGGAAGCATTCTCTTGGGAGATTGTTCTACGAAGCAGTGGTTCTTGGCAGTAATTTTTTTGAATGGATCTTCCTCCTTACTAACGGAATACGAATGGGATGGGGGATGATTCGTTCCAGTGTACATAGTTTGGCGGGTCTTACCTGTGGAGGTCAGAACTGGAGCACTTCATAAAATGTGCCATGGAAATAGCGAGAGACAAGGGTTGTAGGGTAGGAAATAATTAATCACCCACAAGGCCGAGAAGGATACTGAGAATACCAAGGATGGAGCATGTAAGCAATGAGGAGGTTTTGAGGAAGTGAGACAGAATTTCTAGGACACTTAATGAAAATAAAGGCTTTGAAAAATTTAACACTGCCAGGATTTATTGAAGGCAAAAGAGACAGGGTATAGCAGCGGGCCAACTACTTAATGAGCCTATATGACGGGATAGCAGAGCAAGGAGCGAGATGGATGTTAAAAGAACAAAAATTACTAAATCCTACAAAGGATAGAAAGTAGCGGAGAGCCATGATCGCCCACGTCCAGAAAGGACACGCAAATCAGGAACAAGCTCAAATAACAAAAAAAAAAAAAAAATTAGATTATTTCGGTTTGAGACATAAGAATACCGGCTACACTTACGATATCAAGCAAATAATAGATAAATATCTACATATTTTTTTACATCAATATATGAGACTGCAATATATATATTTTCTATAACTATTTGGCATGTCTTTGGCGTCTTTGCAATAAGACTAATGAATACAACACGACGGACATGCTGCAGAAGGTGCCACTTGAAATTAAAATAGTAAGCAGCAATCCATTGCAGTTTTCGCAACTCGATTCTACATGTCTCATGCCATAAGGGTCCGCAGAGGAAGCTCCTAAAATCAAATGCGTGGGTCACATCCTGGCAAGTTGGGATTCTGTAGGGCTGAGACAAAAACTGTTTCACGTTGTAGATAGATAGATAGATAGATAGATAGATAGATAGATAGATAGATAGTGAAATCAAGTGTGTGGGTGACTTCCTGGGAAGTTGAGGTCCACCTTAAACAAATTCAAGCCATCGCCATTTTCTTCTACTTTGATTTTCTTCATCCTCTAACACAACTCTTGTAAAGCCAATCAGCGATAGGTAATGTATGACGGCAGCAGGTTTTGGTGAAACAGGAAGAGTCTAGTGCTGAACCTTCACGTTGGCGGCGGATTAATCAACACAATCATTATAAAGGTAGTGATCAGCAAAGAAGAAATTAAATTCTTGAATACAAGATAAATCCACCGCCGATTAAATAGATAGATAGATAGATAGATATGAAGAGACTAAAAAATTGATAGATATGAAGAGACTAAAAGATAGATCGATAGATATGAAGAGACTAAAAGATAGATAGATAGATAGATAGATAGATAGATATGAAGAGACTAAAAGATTGATAGATATGAAGAGACTAAAAGATAGATCGATAGATATGAACAGACTAAAAGAGAGATAGATAGATATGAAGAGATTAAAAGATAGATAGATAGATATGAAGAGACTAAAAGATAGATAGATAGATAGATAGATAGATAGATAGATAGATATGAAGAGACTAAAAGATTGCTAGATATGAAGAGACTAAAAGATAGATCGATAGATATGAAGAGACTAAAAGATAGATAGATAGATATGAAGAAATTAAAAGATAGATAGATAGATAGATAGATAGATAGATAGATAGATAGATATGAAGAAACTAAAAGATTGATAGATATGAAGAGACTAAAAGATAGATCGATAGATATGAACAGACTAAAAGATAGATAGATATGAAGAGATTTAAAGATAGATAGATAGATATGAAGAGACTAAAAGATAGATAGATATGAAGAGATTAAAAGATAGATAGATAGATATGAAGAGACTAAAAGATTGATAGATATGAAGAGACTAAGAATTAGATCGATAGATATGAAGAGACTAAAAGATAGATAGATATGAAGAGATTAAAAGATAGATAGATAGATATGAAGAGACTAAAAGATAGATAGATAGATAGATAGATAGATTGATAGACATGAAGAGACTAAAAGATTGATAGATATGAAGAGACTAAAAGATAGATCGATAGATATGAAGAGACTAAAAGATAGATGGATAGATATGAAGAGATTAAAAGATAGATAGATAGATAGATAGATAGATAGATAGATAGATAGATAGATATGAAGAGACTAAAAGATTGATAGATACGAAGAGACTAAAAGATAGATCGATAGATATGAACAGACTAAAAGATAGATAGATAGATATGAAGAGATTAAAAGATAGATTCATAGATATGAAGAGACTAAAAGATAGATAGATAGATATGAAGAGACTAAAAGATTGATAGATATGAAGAGACTAAGAGATAGATCGATAGATATGAAGAGACTAAAAGATAGATATGAAGAGATTAAAAGATAGATAGATAGATAGATATGAAGAGACTAAAAGATTGATAGATATGAAGAGACTAAAAGATAGATCGATAGATATGAAGAGACTAAAAGATAGATAGATATGAAGAGATTAAAAGATAGATAGATAGATATGAAGAGACTAAAAGATAGATAGATAGATAGATATGAAGAGACTAAAAGATTGATAGATATGAAGAGACTAAAAGATAGATCGATAGATATGAACAGACTAAAAGATAGATAGATATGAAGAGACTAAAAGATAGATAGATAGATAGATAGATATAAAGAGACTAAACGATTGCTAGATATGAAGAGACTAAAAGATAGATAGATAGATAGATATGAAGAGACTAAAAAATAGATAAATAGATAGATATGAAGAGACTAGCAGACTAAAAGATAGATAGATAGATAGATATGAACAGACTAAAAGGTAGATAGATAGATAGATAGATAGATAGATAGATAGATATGGGCAAACTAAAAGATAGATAGATATGAACAGAATAAAAGATAGATAGATAGATAGATATGAAGAGACTAAAAGATAGATCGATAGATATGAAGAGACTAAAAGATAGATAGATAGATAGATATGAAGAAATTAAAAATAGAGATAGATAGATAGATAGAAGAGATAGATATGAAGAAACTAAAAGATTGATAGATAGATAAAAGATAGATCGATAGATATGAACAGACTAAAAGATAGATAGATATGAAGAGATTTAAAGATAGATAGATAGATAGAAGAGACTAAAAGATAGATAGATGAAGAGATTAAAAAGATAGATAGATAGATGTGAAGAGACTAAAAGATTGATAGATATGAAGAGACTAAAATTAGATAGATAGATGAAGACTAAATGAAGAGATGAAAGATTAAAAGATAGATAGATAGATATGAAGAGACTAAAAGATAGATAGATAGATAGATAGAAGAGATAGAAAAGATAGATTGATAGATGAAGAGACTAAAAGATAGATAGATAGATATGAAGAGACTAAAAGATAGATGGATAGATATGAAGAGATTAAAAGATAGATAGATAGATAGATAGATAGATAGATAGATAGATAGAAGAAGACTAAAAGATTGATAGATAGAGACTAAAAGATAGATCGATAGAGATAAAAGATAGATAGATAGATATGAAGAGATTAAAAAAATTCATAGATGAAGAGACTAAAAAGATAGATAGATATGAAGAGATTGATAGATATAGACTAAAGAGATAGATAGAGACTAAAAAAAGATAGAGAGATTAAAGATAGATAGAGATAGATATGAAGAGACTAAAAGATTGATAGAAAAAGACTAAAAGATAGATCGATAGATATGAAGAGACTAAAAGATAGATAGATATGAAGAGATTAAAAGATAGATAGATAGATATGAAGAGACTAAAAGATAGATAATAGATAGATATGAAGAGACTATTGATAGATGAAGAGACTAAAAGATAGATCGATAGATATGAACAGACTAAAAAGATAGATAGATGAAGACTAAAAGATAGATAGATATGAAGATAGATATAAAAGAGACTAAAAAAGATATGAAGAGATAAAAGATAGATAGATAGATAGATAGAAGATAGAAGAGACTAAAAAAAATAGATAAATAGATAGATATGAAGAGAAGCAGATAAAAAGATAGATAGATAGATAGATATGAACAGACTAAAAGGTAGATAGATAGATAGATAGATAGATAGATATGGGCAAACTAAAAGATAGATAGATATGAACAGAATAAAAGATAGATAGATAGATAGATATGAAGAGACTAAAAGATAGATAAATGGATAGATAGATATGAGCAGACTAAAAGATAGATAGATAGATATGAACAGACTAAAAGGTAGATAGATAGATATGAGCAAACTAAAAGATAGATAGTTAGATAAATATATAGATATGAACAGACGAAACGATAGATAGATAGATACATATATACATATATACATACATAAATCGATATTAAAAGTCTTAGCTAACTAGCTAGCTAATTAGCTAGATAAATATGAAAAGACCTAGCTAGCTAGATAGGGAAATCAAGAGTGTGGGTCACATCCTGGCAAGTTGAGGTCCACCTTGAACAAATTCATGCCATCCGCATTTTTCTTCTAGTTTCTTCCACCTCCAACCAATTCTTGCAAAACGTAACAACGAGAGGTAATGGAGGACGGGAGCAGAGGCTTTAGTGAAACTGGAAACTTCTAGTTCCGAACCTGCATGTTGGCGGCGAATTTAGTCATCAACGCCATCATCATAAAGGGAGCGATCAGCAAAGAAGAAATTAAATTCTTGCATACGAGGTAAAGCCGACGGCGATTGGGATGTGAAGCTAGAAGCATGTACTGGTAGAATACGGCATCTAGGTTAACATTAGCCTACCAAATACTTTTTTTTTATTAGCAGCCTCATTCCATCCTGACTTGAGGCTTAAAAGTTAATAGTAGGTACATTTTTATTTAGAATAATGTTGCGTTAAAAAATATGGTTTCTGCTTGAAATATGTAAATTTTTTTTGACTTTTCCGAATTTTTTCCCCTGCTTATAAACATCAATTGTAGAAAGACAGAATGCAAAAGGGGGGACCTTAAATGCAAATTACAAATCGGAGATGCCAAATTCAAACAAGTACAAAAATGTAAATATCTGAAAAGTGTTTTAACAGAGGACGGATAGCCAAAATTGCCTTCCACAAGCTAAGCAGTGTATTAAGAAACAGAAAATAAATCTTCGTTAGAAACAAAGAAAAGAGTACAGAATTATTACATGATATCTCTCCTCCTACGTGGCAGTGTTGTAACCTAGAAAAGGTTACTGAATGATGAATAACCAAAACAGAGGTTGGAAATGAAATGCTAATCTTTATAACATCAACAAAATACAATACTCGCCAGCGACGTGAAGTAGGTAAACCACTTCTAGTCATGGACTACTTAGACAGCATATAACCCCCACTTACAATAGTGTCCAACGTATTTAAGACATACCCATTAGTGTTCATAGGTACGGTATATAACACAGTGAATACAGGACAATCTCGACTTGAAGCAACAGAAAAGTGGTTCTACAGTAAGATGCTGAGGATAACGTAGACCAGACATGTGATCAACGATGACGTTTTAGAGAAAATTATACTTAACATCAGGAGGGGACAGTTGAAATTTGTAGGACACATAATGAGGAAAGGTGGCTTGGAAAATCTGATACTCACAGGCAAGAGGGACATTGGAAAACAACGTATAACCTAATTAGTGCCCCTTTTACTCATAGACCCAGAAAGGAGACTTGATAATTAAGCACTTAAAATTACTCACTGGCAAGATGATACCACACACAATAATAATAATAATAATAATAATAATAATAATAATAAGTGTGGGTTAATATCTGCACTGGAAAATATGAAACTTTTACGGGAAGGAAATTGCAAGGAATATCATGTATGAACATCACCCATGCCGGTTACAGAGACATGTGCTGTAACAATTTTATGGGACTTTACAATACACACAGAACAATCAAATCTTATTGCCCAGGCATCGGGAACAAACTCCGTAGAAACGGAATGTGCTTTCTTATTGAAATGGCAGACTCTGCAGATTGTAATGTATTTTGAAGATCTTCAAAAACTATCAAAACACAAGGAACTTGAAGTGGAAATCTAAAAAAATGTGGCACATGAGGACATCAATAATTCCAGTTGTAGTTGGAGCCCTCGGATTGATTAGAAATATTTCTGATAGACTCAATGAAGAGATTCCTGGTAGAAATTTAAAAAAATGTAATCACAAGTACAGCTCACACATTACGAAGAGCTTTATGTATGCAAAATGTGCTTGATCTTAGATTTTTTTTTAATGATCAATGGAAAATGTCATGAAGCCATTTCTGACCTTAGGTCTCTGGTTGGGACCCAGAAGGAAATGCGAATATAACAGAAATCAAAGCAAATAATAATAATAATAATAATAACTAGAAATACTGCTCAAAATTTCATGGTTTTCCTACTTGAATTTTCTGATGAATCTAAATTCTTAAGTTAATGGTTGAATGAACTCCTTGCGGGTACGATGTCAACGGAAATTGCGATATTGCAACGTTAAACATTTGAACGACTTTAACAAAATATGGCAATAACAATCATAAATATGAATGCAAGTCATTATTTAAAGAAGTTTGACAAGTGTTTGCCCAGTTTTTCCATTTCACTGAAGCAGATGATAAACCCATGTTATCCCTTCCTCCATTTTCACGTTTCTTTCTTTCTTTCTTTCTTTCTTTCTTTAACCGAAACTATACAGCGTCTCTCCTATGTCATTTCCGTCTAATTTCGTAATCAAAACGGAATAATCCATTATTTATGAGGTACTGGCAGGGTGGAAATGCAATGCCAAGAAAATGTGAAATAATAATAATAATAATAATAATAATAATAAACAAGATTTACATCTTAATATCAACAACAACATTAAGGATCTAGACGAAAATGGTACATACTTCAGAACTAATGAAGTAGAATACAACATTCATTTATGAAGAAAAAGATCCAAAGACAATCTTATAGGAGACTGCGTTTGATATGAGAAAGGAAACTTAATTGGGCCAATAATATAAAGACTATCAACACCTTAGTCATATCAGCAGTAACATACAACTTCAACGTTATTAAATGGAAGTTGAATGACATTAAATGATTTGGCGACAAGACCAGAAAAATGCTTATCCAAATGAAGATGCAACTCATGAAATCAGATGTTGATAGACTGTATGTACCAAGAGCTTTAGAACGCCGAGGTCTAATCTAACTTGAACTAACTGTAAAAACTAGAACAATCGGATTGGAAACATATCTCACAAAAACTAATGATCCTCTCCTACAAATATTAAAACCCCAAGTCCACTTCACTAACAAAGAAGTTACAATCTTTAAGTTTAATATAACTGAAACCCTGAAACGAAGTGAATACCATCTACGCCAAACGAATAAAACAGAAATCAAAACAACTTGGCCAAATGAAATTGAAAAAAAAAAGAAAACAAAAACAAAAAAAACAAAAACAAAAAACAAACAAACAAAAAAACTGAGAGGACTAGGCGTTGAATGACAAACACCTAAAAAGAACGAAATAAGCAGATGTGGACCAACAGAAAACACATCAGTAGCTGAGGAGCACCGGGTTGAAAGCTGAGGCAGAAGGCCTAATTATTTCACCTCGGGACCAAAGCCTCGCAACCAGATCCTATCAGTGTCACACAATCAAGGATGGAACTAACCCTACATGCAGGATCTGCGGAAAATATGATGAAACTGTCGACCATATTATCTCAGGATGTCCGGAACTAGCAAAAAATGAATATACCCACAGACATAACAAGGTAGCGACATATGTGCACTGGAAGATAAGCAATAAGCACAAAATCGAAACCACTGAGAGATGGTATGAGCAACAACCAGACACAGTTACTCAAAATAACGATGTAACTATTCTCTGAGAGATGCCAAGGAAATAGAGCCAACAAACCTGTTATTATCATATGAGACAAGAAATTCGGGAAGTGTATGCTTATTGACATAGCAGTATCATCTGAGAGAAACACCTCCATGAAAGTTATCGAGAAATTGTCCAAATACAAGAACCTGGAAATCTAGATTAACAGGATGTGGGGAATGAAGACTGAGACTGTAGTTATCGGAGCACTGGGCCTCGTGAGAAAAGGAATGGACAATTTTACTAACAGTGTCCCAGGTAACATCAACATGCAAGTTGCCTAGAAGTTCGCCCTACTAGGAACATCGCATATACCAAGAAAAGTGCTATCAATTAAATGACAATTCTCCTATAGGTACTAAGGACCATAGTTTGGACCCGGCTCTACAAGATACAAAGCAGGGAATATAAGATACACAAATAATAATAATAATAATAATAATAATAATAGCGTGGATTGATTATCGTAAAGCCTTTGATAGTGTTCCACATTCTTGGATCCTTAAGACTTTGTAAATGTACAAAGTCTCCCTTGTGGTATTAAATTTCCTTAAGCACAGCATGGGAATGTGGAACACCAAACTATACCTTAGTCACACCGGGGGCACTGCCATATCCAACCGTCTGTCTCCCCTTCTGTTTTGTTTATCCTTAATCCCTCTTACACATGAACTGAACAACAGTAGCTATGGTTACAAAATAAATAAGAAAATATTCAATCACCTACTCTACATGGATGATCTCAAACTCTTTGCCAAAGACGACAATGAGTTGAAAGGTCTCAATATTTAAAATACTTCAGTGACGACATAGGTATGGACTTCGGGTTAGATAAATGTGCAAAAGTAACATTCAAGAAAGGTAGAATTACAGAAACACCCTTAATAGATTTAGATTTTTTCACAAAGATTAGGGAACTGGAGCATGATGAAGCTTATAAGTACCTAGGAATTAGCGAAGGAGATGGCATACAACAGCCCCAAATGGAGGAAAAATTAAGAAAAGAGTACTACGTGTACGTCTGGTAGTAAATACTGAGCAAAACTCAAAAAACAGAATATCAGCCATAAACACATTGGCTGTCCCTGTGGTTCAATACACCTTTAATGTCCTTAACTGGACCATAGCTGAAATTAAGCGAATGGATGCCAAAACAAGAAAGCTTCTCACTTGCCCACCGCATGCATCATCCTAAAGCTGATGTTGATCGTCTGTATGTGCCCAGATCCGAAGGAGGCAGAGGATTAGTTCAACTAGAATTGTCCTACAAAACTACAACAATTGGCCTCCAAAGATACTTGAAACTACAGAAGACTGGATGATGGTATGCGTCAAGGAACATGAAAGTCGTAATCGTCTTTACTCCGTAATAAAATAAGCCAACAAATTCAAAATGGAGTTTCAAATGGGCGTAGAGATGCAAGTACAGCACAATACACCGGCTGAAACTGCAAGATACTTGA